CCCTATAGTCAGCGATGGAATCAGCGATGGAATCAGCTGACTGATTCCAAAGAAGATTGACTTCTTTGAGCTATAGGGTTGAAGAAGATTATATCACATTCCTTGGACAACCAAGAAAATAAACTATTCAGTAAGAGAAGAAATAAAGCTAAAATGTTCTTTAGAAGTAAAGATCATGAAGCAAACTCTTCTATACTTTGGATACATCTGAAAGATTGATGGAAACAATAATCATGCTGGGCAAGATAGATGAAAGTAGAGTAACAGGCTGATAGCAGACGAGATGGGGTACTGGAATCACAGAAATGGCACCTGCAAGAATTGCATAATGTGGCAAAAGGCAGGACAGCTTGGAGAGCTTTTATTCCAAGAGTCACCAGGAGTCAGCTATGACTCAACAGAGCTTTACAATACAAGGATTAAGCTCTGTTAATGAAGATGCCCAAGCAGGCAGAAATCCTTTTACACTTAATACAAAGTAAAGCAATGCAAATCTTTGAAGGGCATGCTTCATTAAAAAAAAGCTTTGATGAAATAACTCTATTAAGACCATTTGCATATTAAAGTGGAGACCCACTTCAGTGCAATGAATTGAAACAGGTGACTGCAAAGCACTTTGCAGAATTTCAAAAAGCATTGCAGATTTAATTAGATTTCTATTGCTTCTGAAATTTTTACAAACATATATGGAAAACCCTGGAAAGGGAAGAAGTTGAGTTGATTTTTGATTTAAGATTGAAAGAAACCAGATTATTACCTGAAGGTGTTACAAAGAAATATTTGGATAGCGTCAGCATATTAATAGTACTCAGTTCCAAGCCTTCTCCAGACATTAGTAGTAGAATGGAATATAGAGGTATGCCATATAATAGTCCTATTTCAAGGAGCAACATCATTCAGAATTTAGGTTATAGATAGAATGGAATAATTGCAAGGAAGTGCTGTCCATTCCCAATTCTAGATGATCCATATCATGATTGATGATACTGAAAACCACTAATAAGTCAACAGCAACTAACAGGATTATGTGCTTTCTGTAAGTCTCTAAAAATCATTGATTAGACCAGCAAAGGCAATATCAACCTCATAGTCTACTTTTAAGCAGTTTGAAATGGGCCAAAATATCTGCTTTCATGAGAACTATCTACAACTGAGAGCTTACACCATTTTGAGCCCTTCAACCAACCTTGACAGATTAATTTGGCCTATATTGCCCTTCTTTGAGTGATCTAATTCAGGCTTCTTTAAAAGAGTTATTTCTAATTGCCTCCTTTCAACAAGAAGGTTGTTTGCCTTCCTTTAGATTCTCTTTTATCTATAATAAACTAAAATTTATAAACAAATTGGGTAAAAATCAAGAGGACATGTAGAGGAACCTACCATTCCAAGTAGCTTATCCCTATAAAAAGATGTAACAAAATATTTCCCCAAAATCTGAATTATAACAGCACAATTCCCCAAAGTTCTCTAGCAGAATGATAGGAGCAGTGCAGTCAGCTCCCCACCATCTGAAAAAACTCAGCAAGCTGCAAAGAATATATGTAGAAAAAAATTACTTTTTGCTGCATATATATTCATATTATAACCCAACAAAGGGATAGATCATCATGAAGAAATGTGATCACTAGGAATCAAAGATGACTTAATAGCGTATAAGCAAGTAATCAATCAATCCTAACCCATCAAGTGGGCTTTATATCTTTCTTTTTACTGAGTTTGAATTAAATCTTCCATCTGCTCTATAGCTACCTGCTTTACAGGTTCAAGTCCCACAGTTCATCAATATATTGGGCCACATTTGAGGCAGATCAGAGAGGACATTTGTGAATTACGATATGAATTCCCCTAATAAGTTCATTATTCCAGCTATTAATCAGAGCATCCACAGAGTTGCTGATCAGACTGATCAAAACCTTTCAAATGACATTTGGAATTTATTTGGAATCCAAATAAATCCAATTGCCTTTTTGGCAGGTTATCCAACAGATCACGACCCTTATAAAAATTAGATGTTGCTAGTAATCCAGCCTTAATAACATGCTGGTTTGCCCATAGTCATGGGGAGACATGAAGGATTTAACATGTATCATATGTTGACACTGTGATTAGTTTGGATAAACCATTGTTGTCATGATTGCTATGGTCCCTGAGCCATTCCAAACAAAACAACACTCAAATGGATATGAGGCTGGGGAATTCCAACATCAGTTCTGAAAAACCTCTGAACAGATGAGTAAGAAATCTCGTTAAGTTGTGAGATGGGTAGTCCTAACAGAATCCTCAGGCTGTTCCTAGTCACAGAACTGAAATTTGCACAATTTCCTGCTCAGTCTCTTAGCCTGCTCTACTGAAAAATACCTAGTGGGAAGTAGCTAGTCCCACCTTCCTACTTCAGTCTGCCAGGTCTCTTTTACTCTATTACTCAAGCCTAATCAAATCTCTAAAGATATGATATATTCCATTACATATCCAATTTATTCATGATTACTTAGGCACCACTAAGTGCCTAGTTACTAAAGGAATAAGTACTGTACTTGTTATTTTGATCTTCCTTCAGTAATAACTTTCAGCTTTTCTAAGGACATTCTAATAATCTCTTCAATCTTCTGTATTTTCTTTCTTTATTAATGTTTTTGTTACATTACTTCAGGCTCTTGGAAAATTTCAGAAAGCCTGGACTCAGTTTTCAGCAGCCATTCATTGTGATCCTAGCTGTCACATTGCTTATGATGGACGTGCTATAGTCTGTCTACAGATGGGGGACATTTTTGCTGCTTTTCAAGATACAAATGCTGCACTAAAGGTAAATAGTTTGTAACTGAGCAAGACTGAAGATTTTCTGCCCTTTTTAATTAATGCTTTCCTCGGAGTTTGGGTTATTCTCGCTCACAAGGCCTTTTCAGGTATTCAGAAAATGCAAGCATGAAAAGGAGAAACAGGAATAGGTGCACTTCCCTGTCCCCAATCCCTTGCTGTTTCAGAGCTGTGTTTTTCAAATTTGGCAACTTTAAGATGTGTGGACTTCAGTTCCAAGTATTCCCCAGTCAGCATGGGGAATTCTGGCCTGAGTGAAGTACCTCATCCTAACCAGCCTTCTGGGACACCTTTAAACCTGGCTTTTTCATCAACCTTGGGGATCCTCTGGTAAGCCTACAAGATGGCTATATGATATCAAATGATGGTTGTTCTCCCACATTCTTGTTTTTGTAAATATTTTTTTTATTTATGTTTATGTGTTTTATGGTTTTAATTGTTAATACGTTTGTATGTGCCCAGAGTAATATTTTATGAGATGGGCAGTTACATAAATCAAATAAATAAATAAAGTTTGATAGATATGCTTCCAGTGATAGGAACTTTTAAATTATTTTTCAAAAATGTAGCAGCCCCTAGAACATGTTTTACACCTCTCTCATGCACTGTTACCCCATTATGAAAGAGAGATTCAAGTATTTTGGGCCATAGCTTAAAGCCAGCTACCAGATTAAGATATACTTTATACATGTACTGCATCTTATACTGTACATCTTTTATGCATTTTAATCTAAAATCTTATTTGTCTGCATTTCAGATAATCACTAACGCAGAATTGCTTACAAATCGAGGTGTGATTAATCAGTTCATGGGATATTTAAACTGTGCTATACGTGACTATCAGCAGGCTATCACCATTGACCCCAATTATGCTTTAGCCTATTTCAATGCAGCAAATGTCTACTTTTTAAACAAGCAATTCTCACAGGTTTGTATTTGGTTCTATGCTGGCATAGTGGGGGTTTTTTTAATCTCCTTTGGGGAAGCTTTTTTAAAATTATAACTACCAATTGCTCATTTTTGTCTTTATTAAATATGTGAATAATAATACAAATTTCAAATATATACTACATAATAAATAGCTGAGTTGACAATCTTGAATGTCAACTCAGCTATTAATAACTTTGATGAATAAATGAAATGAAAATAATTCCTTGAAAATATATAATCCTAGGCCAAGTAATTTAAGGAAATTTAACTAAGTTACTTGAATTTTTTTTATCCCTAGGCCCTTTGGCCTCTTTAAAATATATTCAGTACAATAAATTGTTCTTTACCTATCGTAAAGTGGCAATTGACTCACAGCCTACTTTTGCAACTTGAGTTTACATTTAGAGAAAAGGGAAGTCAGAGAAAATTAAGATGTATCTGACTATCTCACATCTGGGACTGACAATGTGTCGCATATAGATAACAAGCAGCAAGATTTTTTCATATATATAGAAAAACTATCAAAGATGTTGACATTTTCAATGCATAATTTGCAGAAATCTCAGAAGGGTAATAATGAATTTAATTTCTGGCAGCTGAGTCATTATAGGTAATCCTGAAAAGGTTTGACAGTTCTGTCTTTTTTGCACAGTAGTGCAGTGGGTTGTAAAGAGAATGCTAGTTTATTTTTGCACATGTTTCAAACAAGTGGCTGCTTGTCAAGTACAGTAAATTTTAAAAATGCCTTCTTCACATTTTGCCTAAAATGACAGTTATGTCTTAAGGCCTGGGGGCTCCATCTCTTCGCCTAATATTTTTTCACTTTTAGTTTTGTTTGCTTTAGTTTTTAATGTTAATAATAGCAAAAGGCAGCCTTACTTGTAATAGCTTACATCTTGCAATATATCTTTAAGATTATTAAACAACATCATCATTGACAAGTGGTTTGAAGATCTGTTAGTGGAGTCAGAAAAAAAAATCATCTGGCAACTACAGAGCAACAAACTACATTTCAGCTGGTTGAGATTTCTTACAGCATAGAAGACCATGAAGTGCAACATGTCACTGAAAATTCATTTTCTGCAAACATGCAGAAAATGCATGGGCAACCAGACTGGTATTATATTGGTATTGCACTGAACGATCAATGTCTAAGCAAATGAAGTGTATGCATTACTGTCAAACGAAGCAATTTAGAAAGAATAGGCAATAAGCTAATCTTGGTATAACCAACTCATAGGTAACAGGCTAGTTCTCTCACTTTCCCTCTCACTACAGAAATATTAAATAGACCATTCTTATATTATTTCAATGTTAGTATACATGTAAGATGTTTCAGTCAGCTGAATGTAGTTTGTTGCTCTGTAATTGCCAAGAAAATTCTCAATAACATCCTTGAATGCTTTCCAGATGATTTTTTCTGACTCTGCTAACAGATCTTCAAACCGTTTGTTCTTGACGATGTTTCTGATATGTGGACCAACAAAAATGCCTCCCTTAATCTTGACATCATTCTTGGAAACATCTGTTTCAAATAATGAAAACCGTCCATGTCAGTACAGAAAACAAGGTTGTCAACCTGAACCCAATCAAAGAATTGCCAACAATTCCTGCTAACAGTTTACTGTTAATAGTAAATAGTTCAACCAAAGAACCTCCAAGACCTCTCTCACCAACACTGACAACGCAAACCTTTAAAATATAAATTGAGAGCAAACTCCATTCCTTACTAGCACTGAAGATGATACCTATTTTGGGTAATGAAACATCTGCAAGAAAACAACCAAGCTCAGAGAGCACCGAGGACCCCCTCATTTCAACCCTGAGTTACAACTATTATCCTTTATTGATAGCTTCCATTATACAAAAATTGCCCATTCCTGTTTGTAGGCCTAATAATTTTTTTTTTGCTGAGATGAGATAATAATACTATGGTTTGTTTACAGCAATGTAGTTTTTTTTCTGCATCTACAGTTCAATTATAGTAGAAATTTAAAAACAGGAACCAAAAATATGGGGATGCAACAATGATTAATCTGAATTCTCCAGAAGAAATGAGTGAACAAATGGTATAATTGGTGAGGAAAACAGCAAAGTAAAATGATATTGGCTTGCAGTACTAGTATAGGAGATCTCTTGAAGATCAAGTTAAGATGATTGCATTCTACTTATATTTTATCTAAGGTATTACTATTTTGACAAATCAACAATAATAAATAATTAAAACATTTTATTTAATTTTATAGGCAAATGACTATTATGACAAGGCCATAGAACTTGATCCCCAAAATGAATCTGCTTTCCTGAATCGAGCTATTACAAATACGCTCTTAAAAAAATTTGAAGAAGCAAAAACAGATTTTGAGAAGGCAATTTCCTTGTCTCCTTTGTCTGCAGCAATATATTTTAACAAGGCAAATCTCTACAGCATGTTACAACAATATGAGCAAGCTGAGGAAGACATTTCAAAAGGTACTAATAGCTGAAATATATACATCTCTTGACACACTCATCACTTAAAACGGGTAGTACAAGACTACAGAATGAGATGGTTCGACATAATGAATCACTTGTTGAGGCTGGTGGGAGTGATGGGTGAATTATGCTGGTATGAGGGTCTCCTTCATCATTTTGACAAATAGATCATCAGTGCTGCTCAAGCTTTCAGCACTAGCCATCTGTTCAGCATGGGAAATCCTTGCATCCTACAACAAATTGCAGTGTGCAGGTCTTTAAAGATCAGAGCACATGGGATGATTTATTATCCTGCCCCATCACTTTTCACTGCCTATGCTTAGAGATTTACAAAACCCAAACATACTTTTTTGAGCTAATGCTAGGCCTCTTGCTTAGATTTTTAGTCACTGGAATTCATGTCTTACTGAATTGAATCAACCAAAGAGAAATATAATCGATTAACGTTTAAAGAATTTCAAAGATGAAATGCATGCAGTATTTTGAGTAGAAATATTAGCATATAATTATTATTTTCTTGAGAAATTACCTAATAAAATGTTACCTTTTACAGCCCTTTCAATTCAACCTTATGATGCCTTGATGTATAAGCTCAGAGCTGATATTCGTGGCAAAATGGGATTAATTCAAGAAGCAATTGCTGATTACAAGAAAGCCATCAGCATCCAAGAGCTAATCAACAGCAATTGAAAAGATGAACACTAAAAAATATTTATAGTACTATTTAAAACTGGATAACATTTTCTACTGGTATAGATAGCTTGCACTAGTGTTTTGTACTTATCACAGTTTTAAAATACATACATTTCAGTACTTAATTGCAGAACTTGACAAGAAGCATTAAATAAAGCAAAGTAATGTTAATCAATGAAATAATGTTATTATTTATTATGTTAATACTTATATTCTGTTTCTCTATGGATAGCCATGTTTAAATTCAAATATTCTCAATACAGTTACTGTAGAACTAAAATAGAAATTCACATTTTGCATTTTGCTTGGACCAACTACAGGTCTGGAAAGTCTGGTTCATGGGTCTGTCAGGTATTTGACTTTTCCTATGCTTGCAAAGACCAGTCCTTCACAGACATCCTCCAGGGTTTTCTTCTTATTCTGTCTGACTAGATAAGCTTGTCCAGGCACAGTTTAAAATAACATGAATTTGGGGCTCAGCTGTTAGGTGTGCAATAATTTAATAACTGGCTTTTGTGAACCTGACCAAGCTATCTAGATAACACACCTTCTTGCAGAAAATTTGAAGGCTTTCTTTTCCTCACAAAACCTTGAACATTAATTCAACCTAGAACAGTGATGGCGAACTTTTTAGAGACCGAGTGCCCAAATTGCAACCCAAAACCCACTTATTTATCTCTGGATGCCAGGTGGGCGTGGCCCACTGGGTGGGCATGGCTGTGGTCATAGCAGACTGGGTGTGGCCAAGGTGAGCATGGTCACCTTGATGTTGCTCGTGGGGAGGGACACCTGTGGGGGCCGGGCAGGGTTGGGGGAGATCCAGGGGGTCTCTGGCAGGTGGGACAGTGGGCAGGAGGCTCGTACTGCGGGGTGAGGCAAGGCGAGGTAGGGTGGGGGTGCCATTGTCGCAGGGCAAGGCGAGGCAGGGGCTGGGGTGGCGGCTGCCTGACACCATCAGCCCCCGCACACAGAGGCCAGCAAGCGTATGGGGGCCGACAGTGTCCATCAGCAGCCACAGCCCCACTCTGGGGTTCCGCAGCCCACCGCCAGCAGTTCAGAGAAGCCACCTCTGAGCTGCATGGCTGGCCAACAGCTGAGGAGACGATGCAGTGGGTCGTGCCCAGAAAAAGGAGAGCATGTGAGGCCAGGAGGGATGGGACGGGGGGGAGGGAAACCAGCCATGCTGGAATGCATCCAGGCACATGGGACCTCGATGAGTTAGCGGGCAGCTGGTTGAAGAGGGACGGTTGCCATCTCTGGGCCATGGTGCACGTGCCCACAGAGAGGGCTCTGAGTGCCGCCTCTGGCACGCATGCCATAGGTTCGTCACCACTGGCCTAGAAGGAGAGAGGATAGAGATGTAATTTATACTCATACAGTGTTTAAGAATCTATTGTTTCTTGTGATAGATTTGAAAATAAGTTCTGAATCTACTGAAATTGCTACAAAACTCCTTAGACATGAGGAAAAATATTCTCTTCTGGCAGAAAGTACTAATGTAGACATTTTGGCGGCAGAAGAAATTCTTGACTTCAAAACCAAGTTTATTACAAGTTGTAGAACGGATTATAGTGATTCTTCTCTATATTGCCTTGGTGAGTCTACACATCAAATATTACATTCAGTTCTGGATACAACATTTTAAGATGGACATTTACAAATTAGAACGGACCTGCAGAAGAATAAGAAGGAAAAACAAATGAGAAAGAATGAGAGAATATAATTAGAGATGTGATAGTTGTGTTCAAATATCTGATGGGTTGCCATGTAGAAGGCAGAACAGAATTGTTCCAGAAGATAGAACAAGAACCAGTGAATTTAAATGACAGAGAAATAGCTTTTGGTTGGACACCAGAATAATATTCCTAATGCCAAGAGCTGTTCAGAATGAGACAGACTGTCACAGGAAGCAGTAGACTTTCTGTAACTGGAGTTGTTTAAATAGAGGACAGGTGTCATCCATTGGTGATGCTGTAGATTCTTACATTAGTCAGAGAGTTGGACCAGAAGATTTCCCATTCTTACATTCTGATTCTAGGCATTCTAGTTGTTATTGCTCTAACGTGAGCTAAATTAGCTTTTCTACAGTGAAGGGAACATAGAAACATTATGTATACTGTATATTATGCCATCCCAAAGATATTTTTTCAGAAAGCTACTGGACTGATTTTTTCCTTGAGGAAGAAGAAAACATTTCCCTTCTCATCCAAGAAACTTCATCAGTTCTGATGGTGGTGGTGGTGGGGAATGGAAGGATAGATACTGACAGTTGAGACTGGATGATGGGGGGGGGGGGGAGAATGGAAGGATTGTATTTCTTTGCAGTCATCTGGTCGTTAGCACTCTCTCTGAGAGCTGTTGAGGCCACTTGGGGGTTTATCTGTGCCCCGTGTTTTATTATTTTTTATTATTATTATTATTTATTATTATGCCATGCTTTGTTTTCAAAATTGTTAATCAACATAATATGAAACCATAAAACATGTGGTTTACTCAAGCATTTCACTAAGAAAATAGAAAATAACCTTATAGTTTAGGGTGGTAAGTGGATTAAAACTATAAATATATCTGGTATGCAAAAAATTGTAGTATTTTGTTTTGCAGTGGATAATGTAGGTTAAAATAATTTAAACTAATAACTTGCATGTTTTTATTCATTTTGATCAATTAAAAAATAAATTGGGCTTTAATACCTTATGATCTATTGTGAAGTTACAGGTGAGCATTTTCACAGGCCTTAAGAAAACTATGGGATAACTTAGCATCTAATGATATCTTGAATGTTATGAACATGCTGCCATGACTCTTGAACAACTAAATTATTTATGTATTAAATGAGCAATCAATCGATTTTGAAACTATATGCAATGTTTGCATTCTGAGCAGGCATTATTGGGCAAATTGGTTTAAAGATAATAGAAAAATGCAGAAATATGTAATGCCATCTATCAGAACCCGTTCTCAGTAGTATGCGGGAATAAGACATGCTAATGGGGTTCCTTCAGGTATAGCGTTATCTTGGAAGTTTTAGTTTATAAAGAACTGATCACTAGTCATTCTTATTAAGGACGTGAAAAACATTTCAACCTCAAAACTTTCTGAGAGTAAAATAGTCATAATGCAAACAAAACATTTTGAGAATTTTGTTCCAGTCGGGGGGGGGGGGGAATCTTGGTGTTTCAAGAAGCACTGTCTTAAGTCTTCCAATTGCTCTGAACACTTCAATAAATATTTTGTAACTAAATTCACTGACATATTTGATAACAGTATAGATCAGGGGTGTCAAACTGCCGGCTCGCAGGCCAGTTGCATCATACGGAGGCCGCACCCACCCCAGCTCTGGCAATGCAAAAAAAGTCACGATACATCACAACATGTCATGTGACGCAGCGAGTTTGACACCCATGGTATAGATCAGGGGTAGGCAACCTTGGCTCTTTTATGACTTGTGGACTTCAACTCCCAGAATTCCTGAGCCAGCATGGCTCAGCTTGGAAACCTCTCCCTTTCCCCTCAGCATGGCTGGCTCAGGAATTCTGGGAGTTGAAGTCCACGAGTCATAAAAGAGTCAAGGTTGCCTACCCCTGGTATAGACCATCTCATCAATTCTGCAGGCCTGGGATGCAAAACAAGGCATCAGCTACTGCTTCTGGGATAACCTTGTTTTCTGTGACCAGAACAGTGGTCAGTTTTTGCTTCAACAGAATAAATAAGATTTTAGCAGTTTCATGTTTTGTTTTGAGGAATCGCACAAAGGTCCCTCCCTTAATTGTTGCCATCTGACTTTGGAGGCCACCCCAGTCCTAAAAGAGATCCTTGCCATTTTAGCCTTCCAGAGGGTCATGAAGACCTGGCTCTTCCATCAAGCATTGTGCTAAGGTGGATGGTGGTTGTGATGTTGAGCTGTGAGGCAGTTTTGTCCAGAACCTGGCAGGAGGGAGAAGGGTACTTTTGTTTTCATCCATGTTTTTATGGATTGTTGTAAGCTGCCTAGAATCATTATATGAGATAGACAGTCGTATAAGTCCTGGAAGTAAAGTAAAATAAAATAAATACTAAGGGACAGGTTATTTAAGAAACATCCTCAGACATGTCATTGCCTTCAGTTTTGTACAAGCCACCTTGTTTGTGATATATACCTTATTGGTGCTTATTTTAGTAATGATTTGAAGGAAGGTTTGGTTGTTGTTGGGGAATCCAGTATATGAAATTATCTACCTCTGAAATCTGGAGGACTTCTAATATACTGTATGTCTATTGACAACTGGTCAACATTGGGCTTGAATTATCTGACAAATAATTCTTGGTCCTCAAATACCATAATGGGAGTAAATATTCTGGCTTATCTGAAAAAAAAAACCCTTAGGCTTCAAACTTGCCTTTGCATATTGATGAAATATGGATAAATACTATACACGTAGTCTTCAACTTACAACTATTCATTTAGAGACTGTTTGAAGTTACGACACTGAAAAAAATGACTTACGACCCTTTTTCAGACTTATGACTGTTACAGCATCCCCATGGTCACATGATCAAAATTCGGATGCTTAGCAACTGGCATGTATTTATGACAGTTGAACTGTCTGGGGGGGGGTGTCCTGTGACCACCATGGTAACCTTCCCAGCTGGCATCTGACAGGCAAAGTCAATGGGGAAATCACTTAACGACTGCATGATTCAGTTAACAACTGCAGAGATTCGCTTAACAACTTTGGCAAAAAAAGATCATAAAGTGGAGCAAAACTCACTTAACAACTGCCTTGCTTAGCAACTGTAATTTTGGGCTCAATTGTGATCACAAGCCAAGGACTAACCGTAATACTAAATTTATTTTCAGCTACTTTATTCATTTTATTGCTTGCTTTATTCAGAAAGGAATAGGTGGGTGTGTATTTCTGTAGTTCATCATGCTAATGTTCCAGTTAACTACCAATAGATGGCAATATAGAATTTCTATTTCTGTATAAATGAAGGATGTGGAATAACTGTAATTTACTTGTACTTTACATATCTGTGGCTAATATATTCATCCAGAAATATCTGTACTGCATATCTTACATAATAAAATACATCTTTTTTTTGCTATTTCTCTCTTCCTTTTTAATATGCATTACGAAACAAAGGATATATAAACACCTTGGCACAAATATAGTCTAGAG